GAGAGGCTGAGGCAGGAGAATTGCTTGAACCTGGGAGGCAAAGGTTGCAGTGAGCGGAGATCATGCCACTGCACTCCAGCCTGGGCGACAGAACAAGACTCCATTTCAAAAAAAAAAAAAAAATTAATATCCTTTTAATAAACTCATGGCTGGGCACGGTGGCTCACGCCTGTAAGGAGGCCCAGGCAGGCAGTTCACGAAGTCAAGAGATCCAGCCCATCCTGGCCAACATAGTGAAACCCCGTCTGTACTAAAAATACAAAAATAAGCCGGGTGTGGTGGCAGGCGCCTGTAATCCCAGCCATTCAGGAGGCTGAGGCGGGAGAATCGCTTAAACCTGGGAAGTGGAAGTTGCAGTGAGCCGAGATCACACCACTGCACTCCAGCCTGGCGACACAGCAAGATTCCATCTCAAAAAAAAAAAAAATCATTTACACACACACACGTGTGTGTGTGTATATATATAATTTTTTTAAATAGAGAGGGATCTAGCTATATTGACCAGTTTGGTCTCAAATTCCTGGTCTCAAGAGATTCTCTCACATTGGCCTCCCAAAGTGTTGGGATTACAAACATGAGCCACTGTGCCAGGCCAAACTAGATACATCTTAAGGGACAAGTCTCATGCCTGATGCATGGGTCCCACACAGTGTTCACCAAACTGCCTGATGCCCTAAGCAGAAACACCCAAACTTCAAACCTGGAGAAGCTGACGTTTTCATGCTACAGACAGCTTTTCCCAAGACTTCGGAACAAGACTGCATATTATAATGAGACTCCTACTCCCCTTTGATTCTACCTCTTTCACTGGGCAGGGTAACGGCGTCACAGGATCCTTAGGGTGTAACTTTTCCAGCTAGAAACCTCTGTGGCTGGGGCGCCTTTGCCTGAGTTTTGCTTGGGCCCACTGGGCGCAATCCACCCACTCAGCCCAATAGGCTGCACTGAGCTGATGCTACTGGCCCAGATCCCACACCTCCAAGCGTGGAGCGGCAGGGGGTGTGTGAGCAAGCACGAGGCCGTTCACTGTGCACAGCCAGGTATGCCAGCTGCAGTGGGGCAGGCGGCTCCAGGCACCAGCACAGGTGCCAGCTCTGTGCAAGTGTGCAGCTGGACCAGGCGTACCAGAAGTGGCTTCCATTGCAGGCACTGGGGAACACGGTGGCTCCCAGAATCTTGGAGATGTCAGGAGCTGCAGAGCCCCAAAGAGGGTGTCACAGACCTGGCTCAGGGAGCCCCCAAGTCTGGGCTCCCTGAAGGGCAACAGCTCTCTTCTCTCCTCCGTGTTGCCCACAATGTGGCAAGCAGGGGGTGTGTTTCAGCCCTGTTCGTGTTACAGCTCTTTCAGTCCCACTATTCAGCAGGTCCCATGTTCTCATCCTGTGTCCAGGAAGAATGAGGTACCTGGATAACTGGAGGGTGAGCAAGAAAGAGAGGAGCTTCATTGAGCGACAGAACAGCTCTCAGGGGACTCAAAGTGAGTAGCTCCTTCCCACAGGAGGATTTGTCGTCCCCACAAATCGAGGAGATCCCAAGTGGGTGGATCCTTCCCACAGGTGGTATTCCTGACGTCTCTGTGAGTATGGCTGAGTCTGGGGTTTTTACGGGCTTCAGAAGGGAGCAAGTGTGTGCTGATCGATCCACAGGCAGCCATGGCCAGGCCCAGAAAAAGCACCATAAATCTCACTCTGGGCAGCAGACTCCGCCCAGAACTGGCAGCCCAGCCCCCACGTCTCAGGCTGTCCCTAGCTTGAAGGTGGGTCTTCACTGGACACCCACCCCTTTCCACCCAGGAGCCTGTGTGCCTCCTGCCGCCATCAATCATGTCGTCCACAGGGCTCACGCTGTTCAGGTTGAGTGTTGCCTACAGGACTGGGCTGAGCTGCCCTCAGCCCCTCCTTGGCCTTACTCTCATGCTTGTGAGCACTCAAAGTCCAGAGGGGGTCTAGGCAACAAGGGGCTGGCATGCCAGCACTGCCCTCAGTGTGTGCACACCTGGCTGGGTTGCAACAGCACCTAGGCTCGGCTTCAGCTTTGTCAGGAGTCAGGAGAGGCCAGGTGGAGGTGCAGGCACTTCTGAGCTTTCGGGGGGAGGCGGGGGTGGCATCTCAGCCCTGGGATGGCAGGGATACCTGGGTCCACAGCTGTGGCTGGGCAGATGCAGCTACTCCCAGAGAGTGGGGCTCCTGTCCTGCCAACTTGGAAGGGGGCAGGGCTCCCACACGCTCAGTGGAGCACACAGTCCCAGCTGAGCCTCCCCTGCTGCAGCCAGCATCCTCCCAGCAGCTACTCAAGAGAGGCTGCCACTGCCATCAATGGTATAATTGACATTTCACAGTCAATAGCTTCTGCTGGTAATGTCACAAAAACCTGATCTAAGAGATCTTTAGTACCTATTGGTTACATAAGGTATCAAATAAGTATGTCAATACTATATGCTGTACATGGGGAAATTCCTCTGGGAACACTGAGACCCATCCACACAGAACAAGAAAACAGGCACAGTGCGGCCGGGCGCGGTGGCTCACACCTGTAATCCCAGTACTTTGGGAGGCCGAGGTGGGCAGATCACGAGGTCAGGAGACTGAGACCATCCTGGATAACACGGTGAAACCCCATCTCTACTAAAAATACAACAACAAAAAAAATTAGCTGGGCGTGATGGTGGGCACCTGTGGCCCCAGCTACTCGGGAGGCTGAAGCAGGAGAATGGCGTAAACCCAGGAGGCAGAGTTTGCAGTGAGTGGAGATTTGCGCCACTGCACTCCAGCCTGGGTGACAGAGCGAGACTCCGTCTCAAAAAAAAAAAAAAAGGCACACGGTTACAAGTCTCAACTAATTTCCTATGGTCATTTTATTTATTCAACTGGTTTCCTTTAATTTCTATGTTTCTGGTTTTGTTTTCTAATTTCGTTTTTAATTGCTTTCCTTTAAGCCTGGGTTCGTGGGTCAAAACCAATATGCAAACTGGGATAGTAATATTACTATGAATTTTACCTTGTATTTTCCCCTTTTAAACTTATTCATTGCCTGCCATATTTTGCAAAAGTACAATTTCTTTTTTTTGAGACAGAGTCTTGCTCCGTTGCCAGGCTGGAGTGCAGTGGCACAATCTCAGCTCACTGCAATCTCCACGTCCCGAGTTTAAGCAATTCTCCTTCCTCAGCCTCCTGAGTAGCTGGGACTACACGTGCGTGCCACTACACCCAGCTAATTTTTGTATTTTCAGTAGAGACAGGGTTTCACCATGTCGGCCAGGATAGTCTTGATCTCTTGACCTCGTGATCCACACGCCTCGGCCTCTCCTGGGATTACAGGTGTAAGCCACCGTGCCTGACCTGAAAGTACAATTTCTAACAGAATAATGCTGACACAGCACTTTGAGAGGATAGAAAAAGACGACAGAAGCAACAAGAATTGAAGTTAATAATGGACTCTAGGTAGACTTAGCCTGAGAGCACACCCTTCAAACCTTTGATGCTCAAATATGGTAAAAAGGGTTTTGACAATAACTCCCAGCAGTCAGTCTCTCCAGTGTGGGAGCAGACCAGCTACCTGGAACAAGTTCATCCCAGCACAGGGACTATCAAAACTTAATTACAGGATGACTCATCAGTGATGCATTTGGAGAAAGATCTCAACCAAAAGAGGGAAAATATCCAAGTTGTCAAATAAAAGTCGCTCACTTATGTTTAAAAAATACCTTGACAAATACAGCTGGGAAAGGCCACGAAGGGCGAGTTCTCATGAATAAGAAAAACTATCACAAGATTCTGCAAAAACCACAACCTTGCACTAAGGCAACCTCACACAAAAAAATACTTCAGCAAGGACAGCTGCCCAGCAACTGCCTGTCCAACCCTGCATTGGGAGTACGCTTGTTACTGTTCTTTGTAGCCAAGGTTAATTATTTCCAAACCATTATCTTCCTCTTCATTTTTTCTTTAAAAACCGTTACTTTCTGAATGCGCAAATCGTTTACTATGGCAGGCATATTCGCCAACGTCCTATTCCCAAATAAACACTTTCAGTTAGAGAACTTTTTTTTTTTTTTTTTTTTTTGAGACGGAGTCTCGCTCTGTTGCCAGGCTGGAGTGCAGTGGCGAGATCTCGGCTCACTGCAACCTCTGACTCCCAAGTTCAAGCGATTCTCCTGCCTCAGCCTCCCGATTACCTGGGATTACTGACATGCACCACCACGCCCAGCTAATTTTTGTATTTTTAGTAGAGACGGGGTTTCACCATCTTGGCCAGGATGGTCTCGATCTCCTGACATCGTGATCCACCAGCCCCGGCTTCCCAAAGTGCTGCGATTACAGGCGTGAGCCACCGCGCCCGGCCGAGAGCCTGTTATTAGGTTGATAATCATTATAATTCCCTCTCCCGTCCGTGGCGCTCCCACAGGAAAACATCCACCCACTGCCCACCGTGAGGCCGCATCCAGGCAGACAGGCACCGCTGGGGGACAACACACTCGCGCTGACTGGACATACTGTAACTTGACCCACATCTCAGACCAGCCGGCGGCCTCTCCAAGGAAGCCCGAGGCGAGGAAGACCCTAGTCGACGTGCACTCCCAGCCAGGTCTGCCACAGGTCGGCCCTCGCATTTAAACGTTAAATGTTGAAGGGCTTTCATAAAAGAGCGATGTGCTCCTGCTTGTATGAGCCGGGGCCGGAGGACGGTAACAGCGACACGAGACGGGAGCGAGCCTCAGAACTGGGAATGTCTGTGGCTCTTCGGGACGGCGGAGGGAGTAGATCTAGTGAAGCGCGACGACTCTGGGGTAGCAGAAGTGAGAACTATGGGCCCCACGGGGACCGAGGGAAAGCAAAAAATCGTCTCAGGACACAAGACGCCGGGCCGGGGAACGGTCCTCAATGCTCTCCCGGGTAAGCGCGGACCTTCGCATCACTCCCAAAGGCAGCGGCGACACCTTGTGACGTCTGGGCGTTCGGCGCGGCGTCGCACTAGGCGCCGGCGCGGGGTGCTGACGTCAGGACGCCGGCGCTGAGCGCCGTGACGCTCAGCCGGTCCTTGTGGAGTGCGGGTCTCTGCTGCGGACGCCGGGGGCCGGCGCGGCGTTGGCCGCCCCCGGCCTCGCCGAGTGCAGCGCGCCCGAAGGCCAGTGCTTGCGCTCCGTCCGCGGCCCGGCGCCCGAGGTGGGCGGGGAGGCCGCCGCACAGACGCCGCACGCTGCGCCGCCGCTTTCGCGTCGCCCGCTTCCGGCCGCGGCGGCCGCCATTTTGCTCGCGCGGAAGCGCCGCGGTGGGGTGGGAACCCAAGCGGGAGAGCCGCGGGCTGTGGGGCCGCAGCCATGCCGTCGTCCCCGCTGCGGGTGGCGGTGGTGTGCTCAAGCAACCAGAACCGGAGCATGGAGGCGCACAACATCCTCAGGTAGTTGGGCTCCGCCCTGGCCCCGCGCGCTCCGCTCCGGCGACCGGCCCGCCCTCCTCTCCGGTTCCCCCTGGCCCGCGCCGGGCGTCCTGAGAGGAGGCCGGGCTGCGCTCGAGGGTCTGCTGGTTGGGATGGCAGCTGGACAGCAGCGCGCGGCGCCCACACGCGGGTGGGCATCGCGGGGAATGCGGGTTCCGGGACGAGACGCCCGCTGTCCGGTGGTCCTTCGAGCTCCCCGAGGCCGGGGGAGGGGTGCGAGGGTAGCGGCCAAGGTGAGGGGCTGCGCGGCGGCGGCCGATCGTGGTTATTTCGTGTGCGTCGTTGGCTACCTTTGCTGGAAACGCGCACAACGTAACCTCTGCAAAGAACGATGTTGTAAATAAGAAAGCGGTCTATTTTTTTAATACCATGGATTTGTGTGTTTGCTACTTCTTGTTTTCTTTTGCAAAAGATCCTCTTTCTTTCTGGAACGCCTCCAACCGGTAGTTTCTGGAATACAACGAGGATTTGGTTTGGCTCTGCTGGTTTAAATTCGCTGCTAACTGGTCTTCTGTGACTTTTGCGTAGCATCTGTCTAATGAAAGTTTATTTCTGCTTGATACAGTAGTTTGTTCAGTTACATAGCAAACTGAAACTGACCACTTTACTTACAGTGAAAATTTGGTATATGTGTCAACTTTGATAGTAAGACACAATTGAAACGGCTTTTCCCCCCCGAAGTTACCTACGTGAAGTTTAAACGAAAACAGTATCTCACTCCTCTTATCGCAGCCCAGCTATAACTTTCCTGAGCAACTTGGGAATATTAGCAGTCCCTCTTTTTTTTTTTCTCTTATTAACAGTGTCACGCGGGCCAGGCACAGTGGCTTACGCGTGTAATCCCAGCGCCGCTTGGGAGGCCGAGAGTTCGCGACCAAACCCCCCCCCAAAAAAAAAAAACAGTGTCAAGTGTTCGTGATCTGCTGAATC